CGTGCCAAACATAGCACACCAGTAACTTTTTGTTGGGCACACGAAACCATCTCTTATAATCTTCCCATTTACAAATTTTTTTCTTTAATATCGACTTTTTTTTTATTTTTTCAGATAAAATTCCAGTGGGGGGGCCATCTTAGATAAATAAAATAATTTTTCATAACATGTATACATTAAAAAAAAAAAGTATTTTTCATTCATCATATACTGTGTTTTTGTCGCTCGAAAGAATTTTTTTTATTTTTTTCAAGGTTCTTCCCATACGTGCGCCCTTAAGAGATATCAAGTAGGCGTGACATGTTCTCCAAAAAAAAAAGGGTTGGCACGCAGAAAGAATTTTTGAGTCAGAGATTTTGCTGGTTTTGGCACGCACTCACAAAAAGGTTGCCCACCCCTGCCCTAGACTCTCTCCTGTTGCTTCTTCTTCCCCAAGTCCTTCCTTTGTTTCACTGTCCCCAGCTTTAATAAACACACTCTCAAAGTCACCTGAACTTGTATTGTGAAATCTTTCCTGCACAAAGTCAAGAGCGGATCCACCGCAGCCCATCCTGAGGCAGGCCCCCTTTGGGATTTCGGTCCGCTGACCCTTCCATCTACTTAAGAGTGGGCTCCCGGACAAAGATAAATATCACATGATCTCACTCATATGTGGGATATAATGAACAACATAAACTGATGAACAAAAATAGATCCAGAAACTAAGAAACACTGAACAGACAGTCCAACCTTCGAGAGAAGGTAGGGGAGGGGGGTAAGAGATCAACCAAAGGACTTGTATGCATGCATATTAGCATAACCGATGGACACACACTGGGGCGGTGGGAGCTTGTCCTGGGGGAAGGAGTGGCGGGTGGGGGGGCAATCAGGGAAAAAGGCAACATATGTAATATCTTAAACAATAAAAAGAGTGGGCTCCCTCATATTAAATGTACTTATTTACCAATGGCTATCAAAGAATTTCTACAACAAAGTTAACTTCAGTTTACTTTTATGTAATCATATTCTGTAATTACTTACAGAAATTAAGATCAAAGATCAATGTATAAAAGAACTTCCAGGAGCAAACAAATTCCAGTACTATTTTTACATTGCATTACATTACATGTAGTAGGTTACTTTGGCTAAGAGCTTTGTAACTCTCCTTCATTTGGCCTTTTTGGGTCTCAGGAAGCATGGTGCTTCCTGATGGGTTATTGAGACAGGAATCTGTAACAGGGATGAAGGGACCTGATCCTTAGTACAGTGAGTACATGTTTGATTTTTACCGAGCAAAGGAAATGAAACCACAGAGGGATGAAAGACTTGCACATAATTTTTAATTTTCTCTCTCACACTGTGACCTTGTTAGAACTTTAAATTATGAATTAATTTAATTAGCATTTAACAAGCATCTATTAATATGCCAGTAACCGTGCTAGGCCTTTGAAATATATAGTTTCTGACTTAAAATAAAGCGTAATCCAGTGGAGAAGGGTAGAAGGAGATGAGGCTGATTAGGTAATAAGGGAGGCAGACCATGGAAGCTTTTGTGGTAGTTTTTAAGCAGGAAAATGACATGATCAGTTTTATTTCTTAGTAAGATAATTCTGGCAGCAGTGGAAATAGGCCTGGAATAAGGAGACTAAAGGCAGGTAGACCAGTAAGTAACAAGACTCTAAAAACAGCTCTATAAATCTGATTGCTGCTCTACTAGTATACTCCCTCCACCCCCAATTCCCATTCAAAGAAGCTCTTCAGGCTGACACAGGACCACACAGATGGAGTATAGGTAGGAAGGAAGACAGAGGCAGAGGCTGAGGAGGGTAAGTAAAGTTATGAACCCTGAAGCTACACAGTTCATGGTTTTTGTCATTTTGTAAAGGATCAAGTCAAACATCTTTGAAAAATTCTGTGTAAGCTGGAAGCTCCTGTATTGAATTTCAATGTGATTTTTCTTCTGCTCCTTTGATGGAGATTAAAAATTTCCATATGAATACAAAGAATGAAACAACATTTGCTTTTGGCTCTTTTCCTCCCCTTTAATGCATCAAACCAGTGTGGGTAGCAAATGTTCCTTGGTCCCCTCTGGTGGAAAACAAGTCAGTTCCCTTTGAAGAAATAACAAAGCATGGACAGCTGGGGGACTTCAGAGCCATGACATTTACATTATGGACCAAACAAAACTGTCACTGCAAGATGCAAGCAAACAAGCCTTGGCACACAGCCCGTTAGGCAGAGCCCTTCAAGGAGATCAGCCAGTGAGATGAGGAGAGGACGTGAAGCAGTCCTGCCCGTTCCCACCTGCCTCTGCTGGTACTGAACATCAGGTCAATTCCCTTAATGCAGTTGGCTTAGCAGCATAATGGAGGCCAAAAGTACTCTTCCTGTTTCCTACTCAAAGTAGAGACAGCTCAAAGCTGTGCTAAGAAGTGGGACAGGCCCCTGTGAACAATCATCGTGAACATCCTGACCTTGGGGCCGTAGACTGGCAGCTGGGTCCACTCACTGCCCTGAACTCAGGCAACCTCACTCTCTCCCTTTCCTCTTGTACACAACCTTCCCAGAAACACCCACCTCATGAAATTATAAGCCCCTAAGAAATAAGAAATCACAAAGAACAACAGACTTGACTACTAGCTGTAAATAAACAACTCGACCAAGTTAAAAAGAAAAAATAATTGCTACCAATAGAACAAAGGATTAATAGCCTAAATAGATATAAAAGTTCAAGAAACATAAAAATATTTTTAAAGAAATAAAAATTAAAACAAGTTGCAATTTCTAACCCCCAATCAAATTAGCAGATTTAAAATAATTCTCATTACTACTAAGGGTGCTTTGAGATGATAGTTACTCTCAGACAAACGGAGTCAGAGTATAAACTGGTAAAATCTTTTCTGAAAAGTAATTGGAATACATTAGCAAAGAGTAGACAGAATGGTTGTTGTTTTTTAACTTAGTCAACTGCAGAAATCCTCATCTCTTTTTTCATTGCTGATGTACCAAATTACTTCTGCTGTTTGAACTGTTAGTACATTTCCTTTCCTTCCATTCACCAAACATATAGGGGTGAGCAAAAGTAGGTTTACAGTTGCTCATCTGGAAAATAATACATAAATAATAAAAGAATAATAACAAAAGAACAAATAATCAAGAGTAAACTGTGTTTCGTGTATGCATAACTGTTAACCTACTTTTGTCCACACCTGTATACCGAATGCCTTACAAATCCAGTAGGTATCTAATTTCAAAGAATTTTGGTGGAAGAATTAACATGCCAACAACTAAAAAAGGCACAGGACAGAATATGCTAACTTTTATAGGTGAAAAATAACAAAGGATTGCTAAAGCAGTCTTTTCTTGAAGTTGCATCTCCTAGATTTACTTTTTCCTTTCCTTCCCTAAGTAAGTCATCACTCCATAGCTAGATAATTATAAATGACCCCTACTTCCCTTGGAGGATTCTCTTTCCCACCCAGAATCATCTATGTTCTCCTGCCAGGTTACATCATTGCTCATTCCATATGGGACTATTCTGTTTAAAGATCTATAACTCCCTGCTTAGCTTTCAAGGTCTTCTACATGCTGCTCCCACCAACCTACTCAATCCTATCTCCCACAACTTTCAGACAAGACCTCCACTATATCAGCCAGGAATAAAGAATCTCCCTCGAGTACCATTCTAATTTGTCCTGCTATGTCTTTACGTTTTCCCTAATATATTGAAATTTGTCAATTTTCAATATAATGATTTTATTCCCAAAAACTCTGAGAAGTGAAGGGTAGATGGGGGGAAGAAAGAGATGAGGGTATCTTTAGCAGATCTTGAAATGGGGAGGCAGTTTGAGTTGAGGCTCTGAATCACTCTCTATTTCAGCAGGTTCTGAGAAAGTCCTATTTGGCAGGGTTTCTGACTAGAAGCCCCAAACCCACCAAATTCAGGCTCGTCCTTAAGGGACATATCACTGCACAATACTTGCCAGGTATGGGAACAGCTACTTTTGGTGGCCAAAAGAGCTACAAAGGAGATATTGTTATCCTGGTATCCAGACACCAAAAGCTATAATCCCATTTGGTAGTATTAAGGAAGCAATGTTTTTGTTATTATTTTTTTTTTGGGGGGGGGGTTATAATGGTATAGGTCTTTGTTTAAAACAGAAAAATATTGTTTATGTTTTAGAGATACATACTGAAATATTTAGAGATAATTCAACTGAAATTACAGATGAAGTTATATCATAATGACTTGCTTTAAAATAATCTGGTGTGACGTTGTATAGATGGGTACAAAACAAGATTGGCCATGAATTGATAATTATTGAAGCGGTGTGATGGATCTATGGGAGTTCATCACATTACTTTCTCTGCTTTTGTATGAGATGGGTGGAGCTGGATTTTCAAGGGAGAGGAGCTGCTCCTCTTCTTACCCATATGCTTATTAAATCTTTTCCCACCTGTTCCCCTGAGGACTCTAGTTGTATTTCCTATCAAAAGTCCTTGAGACCAATAGCAAAAGGAGGTTTTCCCTCTGGAAACCCAAGTCCTGTGATCTGGCAGACACAGTCTCTGGGAATTGTTAAAGCCCACAGTTCTGTTCTCAAAGCAAAATCAGAAAAGTACAAAAATTTGTTCACTCAGTGAGATAGACTTCTTTTCTAACATTGGAGAGAAACTTGCTCTTCTTTTTTCCCTCCTCTCAGAGAATTCTCTGGCCCTTTGCCAAGAGGGCCCACCTATGGAATAATTGCCTAGGGAAAGGACATCTACTTAGAGACAAATAGCACTAGAGTTGGGGAGCTCACCCTTACAGAAGAAAGCAAGAACAGCTTGGAGCTGTGCAGAAAGAGGCATTATAGGTTACTATTAGTTTTATAAAAATATTTTTCTGGTTTATTATAACATAGATCCCAAAAATACAAGTGGGGGACTCTGTGGTACAGACAAAATAACAAGATGCTGATAACATGATTTCATTTCTAGAACAAAGGTGAAAATAAATTGTAATTTATAAAAACTGGTTACCTAACATTATCAAGGTTTAAAACTGTTAACTAAGTCAGACAGTAGCTTTAGCACTGTGGACCTGACTCTACCCCCCTCTTTCTTACTCATTTTCCATTAGGAAGTCCACAACGTATTTTTTCATGCAGTAGAGATGGGCGTCCACAAGGCCTGTGTGGAAACGTATTCTAGGGTGCCTGCAAAAAGAAAAGAGAGAAGGGGCTCACAATCAGGTAACATGGGTTCTATCATATTATTAGGTAGGAGGCATTAGAAAAAAAAATTATTTTTCATTTTCTTTTAAAAAATATTTTAAATATATTTTTATTGATTTCAGAGAGGAAGGAAGAGGGAAAGAGAGATAGAAACATCAATGATGAGAGACAATCATTGATTGGCTGCCTTCTGCATGGCCCCCCACTGGGGATCAAGCCCACAACCTGGGCATGTGCCCTGACCAGGAATTGAATCATGACCTGGTTCATAAGTCGATGCTTAACCATTGAGGCACACCAGCTGGGCGGCATCAGAAAAATTTTAAGAGCTATGTTGCCTATACCCCATCCTGGGGAGATCAAGATGGTGGATACTAGCTCTGATCCAACCACAGAACAGGTCTTTTCTTTAAAGAAACCCTATTTCACATTTTATGAGGCTTTTAGGCTTCTAAAGACATTAAACCAAAATCAATAAGCCATCAAATCACTGGCAAGCCACCTTCTATTCTATTGCTCCTACACACAAATCTTGTCACTAACCTTTTCCTGCTTCTACTTCAACTGCCCCACTTCCTGCAGGCCATACTTTACTCCAGGATTTGGGTTGTGTTACTCCATTTTCACAGACGCTGAAGTAAAATTCTACGAATACTCTCTAACTCCCACTCTTACTTATTTATTCATCAGGACTTTCCCCAGTAGTACTTCCTCCAGAAAACCTTCACCCAAGTTTGTGCTCTCACACTTATGCCCACCTATATCAGACAACTTATCATACACTAAAATAATGGCCTATTTATTTGTCTCTCCCAGTGGTCTGCAAACTGCGGCTCGCGAGCCACATGCGACTCTTTGGCCCCTTGAGTATGGCTCTTCCACAAAATACCGACTTCTGTGCATGGGCCATGAAGTTTCAATCGCACTGTATGTGCACGCCCACACGTGGTATTTTGTGGAAGAGCCACACTCAAGGGGCCAAAAGGCCGCATGTGGCTCGCGAGCTGCAATTTGCCGACCACTGCACTAGACTGAAAATTCCCTGAGAACAGAGATTTATCTTTGTAGATTGAGCTCTTAGCATTGTATTTCACACAGAGTAAACGTTAATAAATAGTTATTGAATAAACAAACAAATGAATAAATTAGGTCAACTTAAGGCATCTGCCTGATTGCTGTCTATTTTAGTTTGCGATTTTGGTTTCATTCTCAAGAAATGTCATGCTTGCCCTGACCAGTGTGTCACCCATGGACTTAGAGGTTGTGGTTCGATTCCCAGTCACGGCATATGCCTGGATTTTGGGTTCGAGCTCCGGTGGGAGCTCATATGGCATGTTCAATGGGTATCCGAGGCAACCCATCGATGTTTCACTTTCTCTCTCTCTCCCTTCTTTTCTCTCTAAAATCAATGAAAGCATGTCCTTAGGCGAGGGTAATAAAAAGAAAGAAATGTCATGTTTGTAATTTCCAAGGTCATTTTATTTAATAAAAACAGACAGTTGACAGGAAGGAGAAAAGGGTGGAAAATAAAGATTCCAATCATAGCTGCCTGGTTGTCATTTTTCTTCTACTCCGTTACTTTGCTTTGACTGGCTTATAGCTTTAAGGAAAATTATTCTCATGGGATTGAGATACCCTAGAAGTAATTTATCAAATAAATTAAGGTGCACTACCCTGGGCTTCCATTATTTTGGGAGAAAGGCAAACAAAATTCTTTGAAAAGAGCAACAGAGGAGTCAGACTTATTATCCCACACCTATAACACATACATTCCACACACAAGCCAATTAATATATACAATGATGATGAAGAAGAAAGGAGAAGCTACTTCTCAATCCTAACTTTCTGAGATTCTTGATTTCTAAGAAATTCCTCAGGATGAATGTGGTTACCAGGGTTTTCCCTGAAGTCCACACTGATAATTCTCTTCCTTGATCTAACCAATTTGGAAAGTTGCACTCTCCTGTTCAGTCTCTTGGTTTACAAATTCCCTGAATCATTCAACACACTCTACCTATACTTACTGAATCCTCACAACTACCTCATGAAGTAGATATGTTACTCTCATTTTTATAGCAGAGGTCAACTGCTATAAAACAGCCAGGAAAGGAATAAATTAAAATTCTGAATAACCATCTTGTAAACTGTTATCAATTCCTAGCATATATGGCACGAGCATTCATATAGCATTTTATAGCTTATAAATATTTCTTCCAACTTTTTACTCTCACCCCATAAAATAGGTTAAAAAAATTCTCCCATTTTAAAGAAAAAAATGTCCCCAAAATTTAGAATACTCAAGGCTAGAGAATTAGGTACAAATATGAAAGACAATGAAGAAATAGAGATGGGCAATTCAGATATATTTTTTTCCTTTCATATCAAATTTGTAGTGAATGTGAATCTTGGAACTGGGAAACTAATTGCATTTAAGTTGCCAAAGAGGTGGGTTTCTTATTTCACTCTATTATTTTTGAATTACATGAGAAATAAGGATTGACATTTTAAAACAAAATAAACAAAACCTAAAAGCCTCAAAGAGTGTCAGTAATACCTGGGTAACTGGCAGACAGTTCTGAGCCAGAGAGGCTTTGGGTTTGATTAACATAAAGTAAGAAATTAGTAAATAGCCCTGGCTGGTTTGGCTCAGTGGATAGAGCAGCCGTGGGCAAACTACGGCCCGCGGGCCGGATCTGGCCCGTTTGAAATGAATAAAACTAAAAAAAAAAAAGACCGTACCCTTTTATGATGTTTACTTTGAATTTATATTAGTTCACACAAACACTCCATCCATGCTTTTATTCCGGCCCTCCGGTCCAGTTTAAGAATCCATTGTGGCCCTCGAGTCAAAAAGTTTGCCCACCCCTGGGATAGAGTGTCAGCCTGTTGACTGAAGGGTCCCAGGTTTGATTCCATTCAGGGGCACATGTCCAAGTTGCAGGCTCAATCCCCGGTGGGGAGCATGCAGGAGGCAGCAGATCATTGATTCTCTCTCATCATTAATGTTTCTCTCTCTCCTTCTTCCTTCCTCTCTGAAATCAATAAAAGTATATTTAAAAAAAAAAATTACCCTAACTGGTTTGGCTCTGTGGATAGAGCATCGGCCTGCAGACTGAAGGGTCCCAGGTTCGATTCTGGTCAAGGGCATGTACCTTGGTTGCGGGCACATCCCCAGTAGGGGGTGTGCAGGAGGCAGTTGGTTGATGTTTCTCTCTCATCGATGTTTCTATCTCTCTATCCCTCTCCCTTCCTCTCTGTAAAAAATCAATAAAATATAAATTTAAACAAGAAATTAGTGAATAGAAATGAGTAAGATAATTAGAAATTCTTGAAATTTTATGTTTGTAAAGTAATTTAAAACATAATTTTCCAAGCACAGGAAAAGTCCATTACAATAAAAAATAAAATATGTGAAAAATTTGTGGGAATCCTTTCAATGATAAAATAACAATAAAAGTTCAAGATGTGGTATAAAAATTTAATCTTTAAAGACTATAAGATCATTTGTGAAACTCCCATGGGTTTTTTTCTTCTCTTTAATTAACATAAAAAAATATATATTTTTTTTGTTAATCCTAACCCGAGGGTATTTTTTCCATTGATTTTTAGAGAGACTGGAAGGGAGAGGGAGAGAGATTTCTTTATCAACCTGCCTTCAAGTTCCCTCATACATTCTTGGGAAGCAGGAGAGCAGATATTAAGAAATGCTCCTAGCTCCTTGGCAGGGTCACTGGTACCAGCTGCTACAGGAGCTGGAGGGATGGAGGGCAAGTTGCCCACGTGCTCCCCCATGGAGGAGACAGCACACAAGGCTGCAGCCCTGATGCTCACACCTTCCACTGGACAGCGATGAAAGCTGTAGCTGTGCCAGTGAGCACAGGAGAAAGTGGCCTGTTCGAGGGTGTGAGCAGAGGTGACAGGAGCAGAATAGCAGAGGGTTTAGAGACTACATCATCTTGCCTCCAGCACAACCATTTCTGTCCTGTGATCAATGTAAGTCGCAGGAACTTCTTAAGTAACAAACAAAATGAGCCAGGGGCATGGAGTATATGACCTTATATTGGTCTGGGATTGGCTATGAGCTCCAGCATTATCATTGAAGGAGGTTTCATTTTGGAACAAACATAAAGGTCTTCTGTGACTTGCCAGGAAAGGCTCCATGAAAGCAGGTCAGTAACGCATAAGAACCAGAAGCAACAATTCCAATGAGGACAAAAACCTCCCAAGATAACTTAGCCATCTTGAAGGGTTCAATGCAACAATACAAACAACCTTCCTCAGACAGTCACCTTCTACTTTATTTGGCAATCTGAAACCTATTCCAATAAAAAAACATCTTTTCCCCCCGCCCCCGAAGAGTCAGAGCTAATTTCCTACTACCTAATCATTATAATTTAAAAGAAATTAAAGACCAAGGTATGCTTGAAATAATCAAGGTTGCTCAGAAGTAGAGGAAAGAAGATGACCCATGAAGCATGGCTACTTACTAGCTATCTACAATTCTAATGAGGCAGATTTTGGGGCAAGTACCTGTTGCCTAAGTACCTGGTAGCTGTTTTATAAAAAAGTACTTGCCATACCACCCCAAATGCCTGCTCTCAATGGCAGGGGAAGGGGCAGGAACGACAGGCTGTTGATCGTTAGGAGTGCACATGGAGCTACCAAATCAAAGGTCTGCCTATGCAGCAGCGTGGGCTCTGGCATCGTCGGTGCTCAGGCCCTCTCCTAGAAAGGCAGTGTTGGAGTGCGAGCCCTGGACTCAAAGCAGCAGACAGTAAACGTGCTTCTCTTCATTGTACTGACAGAAAAACAAAAGGAAATTATTTTAGTTCACATTAATTGAATACGTACTATATGCCAGGCACTTGGGACATAACAGTAAACAAAATGGACATGACCCCGCATGAAGCTTACAGTTTACCGGAACATAAATTATTGCAAGTATGCAATAACTGTAAAAGGCAGCACAGAATGCTACAGAA